GAATGTACCAGTGCCCTTCATGTAAGGAAGGACTTTATCTTCATTACTAATCCCTACCATTCATGTGATGAGGGGCGGAATGTACCAGTGCCCTTCATGTAAGGAAGCACTTTATCTTCATTATTAAACTCTACCATTCAGAACTGCACGTGGCACGTAGGAGGCACTTAATAAATAAGGCTGAATAAATGACTTTATGTTCAGTGTTGTCTGGGAGTTTCTTCCTATCTCCCACCCTCTTCTCGTCTCCTCTTTTCCCCTCACTACAGGGGTCTGAACAACTGTATCTTCCTTAGAGTGACTGGGGCCTGGAGAAAGGCACTCCAGCCGAACCCAGAATCTCTCTGGGCCAACATCGTGACCAGGGATCAAAGGAGAAGCACCGAGAGCTGAGGCCTGGACGCCAGCTGGCCTGGGAAGGCTAATGAGCTCCTCACTCTGAGACCTCAAGGCCTCTGCTTCTTGATTTCCAAAGACCTGATTGTTCCCACTCTCCCTGCATTTTGTAGGTTACCCTAGAGGCATTCCAATTAATTTACTCTTGGTTCCACTAGCCAGTTCCTGTTACTAACAAACCAGAAAATCCAAGCACGCAATCAAATCAGAAGGTTAATTTTTCTCGGGTGTTTTATTTCATTTTTTAAAAACAGAAATATGTTAAAATATTTTTAAAGTTAATAATTTATATTTTATTTATAAAATTTCATGTTTGTATATCTTACTGCTGGGTTAAGTTAGGGATTACACGCTACACCTTACCCTGCTATCCAGATTCTTGCCCTCAAGTGGAAGAAAAGAACTTTTGGGAGTATATGTTAAATACTTCCTATCTCTACCCAAGGAAAGGAACTTCTACTCTAATTCCCTGGATTTTTGGGCTTGGGCTCTTCTTATTCTACTATTTCCAATTCAGAGAGAGGAGTGGAAAACCCCCTTCTGGTTTCCATCCCAAACTGCAATCTCTATTCCAACTTTACCTTTAATAAAGCTGACACTTTGATCCCACTTGGCACAGTTCTTAGTGCTTTTATTAAACAAACCCTGGAACAAAAGAAGGGCAGGTGGTAAGACCCAAACACCAAGCCTTATCTTAAATAACCCATTGATGATAAGCCTAGATCAACAAACACCAGGATCAAACAAGAGTCTTTCACAAGTGCACACCCAACAACACAGCATCTCAAACGCAAGGAGCCGCTCTCCTCTCCCTGAGCACAGAGTAATCACCTCACTCAGACGGCACCTAGCACAGGCCAGACCCTGGACCACCACCTGACCACTGAGGAACTCCAGGGAGAAAGCAGGGAAACTCTCACAATGACTTTATCAGGGGTGGAGGACAGTGCAGGGAAAGACAACTACAAGAAGCTTAAGACAAATTGGTTAAAAAATAAGTCAATTTCTTTTTAGTGTCAGTAACAGACATAAATAATTATAATTTATGCACAATCTACTTCAAAGGGAGAATTTAGGTGGTTTATAAAAAGGAAATTTATCAAAAACAAATTTAACTAAAAAGAAAGAAAAAATGACTTAAAGCTATGGGGAAAGAACTGAGTTCTAAGGGAATTCAAACCTTAAACATTACATTAAGCTATGTGTACTTTCTGGACAGCAGGCCAAACAACAAAATAAGAGTTAGAGAGGTTTTTATCAGTCACCCTTTGCTCCCTGCTCCAGTAAATTCTTTTTCCTAGCATTGAATCTAGAAGAGATTTGTCACATGGATCCCCCTTAATGTAAGATCAATCAATTAACAGTAGAAAAAACAAGTTCACAAATGAAGACATTTTTCAAGCAGCCAGTTCAAATAATGAACCTCCTAAGTACTAGGTGGTTAGTGCCCTCCTCAGATATTCTTTAAAAATCTATAGTTTTAGCTTTGACGCTGAGCAGTGCAAATGGTAATTATCTCAAAATTGAGTCAAGTACCAAATGGAATGTACATAAATTCTCTAGGATTACTGAAGTGATATTAGCAATATTTATTTAAAACACAGATAAACTTTCTATTTTGAAAAGCAAAAACCTGGATCCCTACTCATGTTAATAATCATTCCATCTGTACTAGAAAGTAAATGTCACTGGCTGTGCTGATAGCAATAAAAATTTCAAGGAGAAGATTGCACTTTTGATCGAGGTAATGTCCTCAGAGGTAATTCATAAAAATCCTAGGGAATTCAATAACTGAACAGACAATTATTTCAACATGTATACTTAGAAAGAGAATACCAAAATAACTGTAGAATACCAATCATACATCAACCACTGTGCAAGGTATTTTATACACTTTATACATGTTATAGCATGATTAATTGTTACAAATTTTGGAATGGTTAATATTAATCTTGTTTTACAAGTGACTTAATTATAGTGAAGCTCAATCAATTTCCCCAGGACAGATAGTAAGTAGTCCAACTTAAAAATAAATTTTGCACAAGGGCAACCAAATATCTCAACACTTAGTCACTTCACCCACAAATTAACTTCAATACCGTGCTACTAAAGATCTAATTCAGGTAACTTTGAGCAGTTTTCTAACTAATTATAACATATGTCCAGGTTACTTAATGTTAATTTAGAACATTAGTATTTTTAGTTGAATATTTAAAAATCTGGCACAAACAATTCTAGTTTTAGTTTAGCTGAAGTTATCTTATTCTTATAGCAATCAGGTCTCAGATGCTTCATACTGACAACAGAAAAACAGGTATTAGTACAAAAGGAAAAACCTCTTCCTCCTGTTTCCAGCAATGGACGATACACACATACCCATACGCGTAAAGTACAAGGGAAAATTGGTCACACATTTCCTTAAGACACTTATACAGCTTCAACTCATATTTATAACTACAGACTGATAATAAATAAAAAGTCTTATATTATTAATTGATTTCTCAGTGAGATGAGGCAATTTAAGTGATCTGTTAAACTCCACCTCCTCCTCATGCAAACTGTTAGATTCAATATCTATAATTTATACGTAGGTTGGGCTAAAGTTTTAAAGAAATGTTAAGAGATAAAGCTATCATTTGGGAAAAGAAACAGATCTTTCATTTTGAAAGGTGTGGCAAACCGTCAGCTTGACAGAGAGGTAAATTAGAAGAGTTTACCAGGATTTGGGACCTTTCTCTAAAGGCACAATCTCAACAATTCCACCTGTCAGTTTTAGCATTAAAATATGAACCTTGAGATTATTTTCCGAATAAAGAAAAACAGAAACCAGTAACAGCAAAGATGGGTACCATAGACAGTCACAGCATTTACAGTACACGATAAGGTTTTTTTTTTTAAATTTTAGAACATCTAACTCAAACGTGACAATTAATGACAAAATGTTTTCACTGACCTCCAACAAAAAGGTCTATTCCCCCAGCTTCTTTTATCTTCTTTTCAAACGCATCACATTCTGCCTGTAAATCTGTCGCATTCCCATCGAGGATGTGTGCATTGTTGGGGTCAATGTCGATGTGCTTAAAAAAGTTATTCCACATGTAAGAATGGTAGCTCTCGGGGTGGTTTCTCGGAAGGCCTAAATAGTTAAGTAAATAAATAAAAATCACTATACTTCTCAAACACATAAACTTTTAGGCAATAGAACTGACTTATATATTAAGCTCAAATAAATTAGCCCTTTCTATTGAAACGTTGGCCATATTCTTCCCCATTAGTCCCATAATTTGTGCAAAGTATATTGAATCCTCAAAATTCCTTTGGTATCACTTACCATACCAGTAAAAATATCTTCCTATATCTAAACTGTAACACAGAATTTCTATGCAAGTTAAAGGAAGTTAATAGTCAATAAATCACAAAAGCTTCATGGCTAAATAAATAAATATCTTCCGATTTGAAAAGTATTTAACTTACTAATTAATTTTATATACACATTACTTAATTCATCTCCACAACACTGGTTTTCACTCTGAAGTAAACAAACAACAAAAACAGAGGCTGAGCAATGTGAACAGATTGGGTTGAAGTTACACGATTCGTAAGAGGCAAAACCCAGGATCAACGAAGAATGTTTTGATTTTTGGTCCTGCGTTCTGTCCCCTATGCTGTGTTACTGTCACACGCAGTGTTACATAAACTCCCAATCTCATCACAACATAGTATATTTTTAGAAGTATATTCATAGTATACTCAAAACATAAATTCAAATACAATAATGTTCTAAAAATATATTTCTTTTATTCAAAATGTAACACATATCCAAATGATATATTCAATAAATTCAAATACATACCTACATACTCATCCATGTTAAAGGTCTTCACATATTTAAAAGAAAGATCTCCATTCTTGTGATATTCTATTAGTTTTTTATAACATCCTAAAGGTGTACTCCCTAAAACAGATAAAAATTCCATTTTCTAACACAAATTGAAAATCTCTATTTTAAACAGTTCATACCTTTTCTTATTTAATGACATTTAATATTTTTAATTTATTAAGCAAATACTAACTTATATAACATTCAATGAACAAATATATGTTAAATCAGTCTCTTTACAAGATACCTTAAATAAAGCTGGAAATCTCTGAAAAATTAAAGTTTATAAATTATCCTTGAGTTGTTAAGATGTTTGGAATGTAACTGTAACTTCCAAGATTAAAAATCTATAGACAGTAAGTACATGTGAATTAATAGAAAAACATCTCTCTCTTTTTGTGAGAAAAACTGGAGTTCTTACACAAAAGAAGACACAAATATAGGTCAAGTGTTGACCACGTACTGAATCAAAAGGGAAACCAGAGCTAAATTTAAATATTGTCTCCACTTTCAAAACAGACTTTGCAACCGGCAAAGGCTGAGTGCGCAGCTTTACCCTCACACCTTTTTTACTGGGGCTCCTGTTTCTCACCTCCTGTCAACTCAGCCTGTACAAAGAGGAAGAGTGCTGTCTGTTTGTAAGATAAAGGACTTCTAGGAAATGGGAGCTGGGCCTTGAACACTTCATCAGCTTCTGCTTTTATTGTTTTATACAATAATGTCATCTGTGTCATGTTGTACAAGATCAGTTGGTATTTGAAGAGATGTAATGGTGCTTCAGGAAATAGCAAAATAAAAATAATGGATTTAGATACTTGTGATGGGCTCCCTCTATTTTCTAAGTCTGCTATATTTTCTTCATTTAACTTCAAACTGAACGGCCAGACGACGACACTCTAATAAGTGACTCCCAATCCCGGCTGGAGTACTGACCTCTAAGCTATCACCATCACAAAATCAAACAATGCAAAGTAAAAAGTCTGCACCAAAAACTTCTAATCAAGTACAGTACAGAAGTCTGACGGCACTAAATAGACTCTGGCAAAAACCAAATAAAAAGGAAATCAAGAGTAATAAAAAGCAAGCCTCTTATTTGAGATGACAGAGTAAATTGGCTGTAAATAGTCAACAGTATGTAGGCTCAAAGAACCAGAGTAATACATTTTCTTAAAACTAAGTTTTAAGCCAAAATTAATGTTAAATATGTTAAAACATGTTTTGAAATGCAATAAATAATTGAAAAATATTGTGGCTAAATTTTACTATTCTTTTTCAAAGAGCTATAGCCTGCTAACGCGAAACTGGTCTAAAAGATGGATAAATACACTTTCTCTTCTTTTCCAGAAGCATAAATGGATCTTGCTCTTTCAATGTCAAGAGAAGAGTTATAGGATTCCCTCAATTTAAAGATATATGAATAAAAACGTGAGAAGTGTCACAACGGTGGTACCAAAAACTTCATTTTCAACCTTTTAATCAATATGGCTGAAGGGAAAAAAAAAAGATATGGTATAGAATGAACCCGTTAAAGAAACTTCATTTAAATATTTGCTTTATAATAGTCTTATAAGTACAAAACTAACACATAGCAAGGGCTAAATCTATGATTCAGATAAAACAAAGATTATTTTCTGTCCTATGAGAACTTCAATATAGAAATAAGCAAATACAAAATAACCATGGCAGAAGGAAGAACTATTGAGAATAACCTAAAAGAATTCTGGAGGACTCCATTAAATCAAAGAAGACAAATGAAAGAAGATGGCATCTCCACTGAGTCTCAAAGGAGGGGCAAAGTTCCAACAAAATGGGGCGAGCTGGGACTGAGTAGACACCGTATGGAGCAGGAGGTTCACGGATGATGTTTCTCTACCATGTGCCTAGACGCTGTGCTGGTGTTCTTATACTTTACCTTGTGTAAATCACACTATCTTGGGAAACTCGCATTATCTTTCCCATTTTGAAGATTAAAGAATTGGGTCAAAAATAAAATTAAAGAATTTGCCAAACATCATATAGTTGTGAGGCAGAGATGCAAATCTAGACTGTGTAGTTCCAGAGCTCATACATAACATACATAACCTCTACCTAAGGAGCAGGAGTGAGAGCAATCCAGAGCCAGCACGTTCAGGCCTATTCTTCTGAACTGCAAGTGGTCCAACTGGCCTCAGTGCAGGGGAATGGTGGGAATCAGGATGGAAGCACATCAGGCCCACCGCATACTAGCCTTTAAAGGTCAATCTCAGTAAGATCACTTCACTAAATATAAACGGAACAGAACAGCCCCAGCAATTGTGCTTAGAAGGGAGATCATTACAACATAGCATGTGACTTGCAATTACTGACATGTATGTTCAAGTTTCAAAAGCAGTGGAGAGGGGAGGAGGCCATAACTAACACTATCAGGGGTCAGTAAGGGAGAGTGATGGAAAACACCAACAAAGGTTTTCCTGAGGAACTTCCTTGGCAGGTGTATTGCCCCAAAGGAAGTAAAAGTTGTAAGCTTAATAATACACAGTGAGTTTACCCCTGCTGGCACCTTGGCACTCTCTGAAGTTTTTCTGCCCCACATTCAAATTACTATTTACTTCTGAATCATAATTAAGAGACAACATCAGATGAGCAGGCTGAGTGCAACACAGGTTAACAGAATGCAAAGTATATAGAAACCACGTCCAACCACACGGGTCAGCACTGAGGGTGCCGAGGGCGTGAATTAATGAAAAAAAGGATCTCCTTCTGCCATTCTCAGCAAGATGTGACTGCCCTGGACTAAAAGAGAAAAACAAAAACAAAAAACATCAACTTGAAGAGTACTATCCGTGGAAATTACCAAAGTGGAGAAAAATGATGAGTTAACTTTTATGGAATAGAATGTCTGACGGGAGGAGCAGGAGAAGATTCTCTGTTTAAAGAAAAACACACACTATCTTAGTGGGCCTCAAAACAGCATCTTTCGTACAGGTAAGGAAGGAAACCGAGACTCAGGGGCACAGAATGAATGCCTTGTACTCAGCAAGCGCAGCTCTCATTCCAGGTCTGACTCTCTGTGCCAGCCCTAAGATCAAACAACACCACTTTGTAAGTTTTTGAAAGAGATCCTTAAAGAAAATTAAATCCAAAATATCTAATTAAAGCTTATGTTCATTCTATGAAGACATACCTGTCTTCAAATTCTTCACCTGTGCAATACTTCTATAATAGAAGAAAAATAAACAAACAAAAAGCAAAGGGCTAGTAAGACAGTAAGAGAGTACAAGGCAGGTGATGGGAAGTAAAAGAGCAGCTGTACACATTTTTGATACCTCTTAATGATTAATAAGAGAGCAAATCTACTAAAACAATGAGTAGCAAAAAACTGTTCCCCAAAACAAAGGGCCACTAGAAAAAGGACTACATAATAAAAAATGAACCATCACTTAAGCTGAGTATTTCCTATTGCATTTTGGCATGGTAGGTGAGAAAAAAGTTTAACAAAAGAAATAGCACCAAAATGTAGAAATTATACTATATACACATATATATACATACACACCTAAGTGTATATTTTGTAGCTATGTTTACTACTATGTTCAATCGGTGAGATGGCTAGAAATGAATGGGAGAAGTATTCGAGTAAGAGAAAACCTATAATTTAATTATACAAATTTAGTATCCAAAATGGAAAAAGTAGTTTATTACCTGTTGGTAAACCCAGGGTAAAATATCTATCCTGTCCAGGTTTGAACTGAATGATGCGATTACAGATGTATTTGGCTGCCCATTCACTAGCCAAGTCATAGTTATCAAGAATTACAAGCCTCATTATGGTGACGCACAGCTTCCGGGACAAAAAGTTCAAACCTGGGAAGATTCCATTATAGAGCACTTTAAGTAATTCACAGACACTCAAACAGAACTATAATATACATACTGATAATTCATAAAGGACATTACTTAAGAAGGATATGCACATATACATAAACAATCTCTATTTTAAAAATAGCATTATAATAGCTGTTCTCTTGTGAGCAGACAGGGGCTAAGTCATTTAGGTACAATTGGTCTCTGTATCTGTGGATGCCAAGTCTGTAATTCAACCAATTTTGAGGTCAAAAATATTCAGAGGGAAAAAAATGGATGGTTGAATCTGTAATGAGCAGGTACAGACTTCCTGGACATTATTCCTTGAACTATACAGTGTAACAATTTTTATACAGCAGTGACATTGCATTAAGTATTTATAATAACCTAGAGATGATTTCCAGTATACTGGAAGATGTACACAGGTTATGCAAACGCTACACCACTTTTTATCAGGGGCTTGAGCACCCATGGATTCAGTGTTCTCCGATCCTGTCTCATGGTTACCCAGGGACAACGGTGCTTGTATTAATCCTTACGACAATCATGTGAAGTAAATAACATGCCCAGTTTTAGAGGCATAAAGGGACTCAAACAATTTGACTAAGGTCACATACCTAGTGATAAAACCAGAATTCAAATTAAGGCAATCTTAAGGCAACGGGGTGATACTGCACATGTTATTCTAATAAGAAGAGGAAGAAAACAAAGTGAACTAAATAAACTGCTGATCCCGGGGTGGGGACAGGATTTCTTTCACAGAAAGCAATTTTAGTTCCTTAAAGAGTACTCAAGGGATAAGAAAAATTACTATGCAAACATTAAGAGATCAGAATCATTTAAAAACAATCTAATTCCATTTTAGACACTGTGGATTGACCTACTATCATGAAGGATATAGAAATTAGTAGTCTTCTGCTAACTTGCACCTCCTCATTTCAGTAAGGTATATTAATTTTATATTGTCAAGATTTGTTAAATTTACACTATATTCTATAACCATAATTCACATATTTTAATTCTTAATTTTATATTTAAACGGATCAGTCACCAACCTCAATCCTTGCTTAACAAAGGCTTCCACATTCCTGAGTTTTGCACCCACATACTTTATATAGAGTAATAAGTCAATATTTTAAATTAATGCCAAGTTGAAGGTCTTATTACAATGAATATATGTTATCTAACTGATGTCCTCAAAAACATGATTTAGAATTCTGGCATAATGACAAAAAATTATCATCACCATGACTCAAAATTCTTAAAGAGTAACTAACAAGAAGTGGTATTCACAGATAACGAATTATACAGTAAGTCATATATTCAGGCCCACAACTGGACTCAGCTTCCATTTAAATATTTCAATAATCTAAGTCAACGAGAACTTCACTGATACACTATGGAATCTGAAATAATTACTGGCCATTATGACTATCAGAGGATAGATTTACTTCTAATATGAGCATTTGACAAATTGAAAATAAAAGTAAAAAAGCTCTAAGTGAGGGAGAGGAAGGGCATTCGAGTGTTCCAAGCGTATTCTGAGGCTTGGGCTTGAGGACCTACTCTATCCTGAGCATGATGTTAGGTTTGATAGACACCAAAATGATTAAGAGAAGGACTGTACAGAAAAGGGCTTAGAATCACTTAATTTAACAGTTTCTGAGGTTGAAATTACTGTCCTCAATTTTCAGATATGCTTAAATTATAAAGCTATTGAATGGTCCCGGGAGCTGGATTTAAACCTAAATGCATTTGACTCAAAGATTCCTGCTCCAAATATTCCTTACCCATTGAGAATCAGTTAGGACTCTTGTTCAACTATTAGACTCTCGGGTTCCTCTCCCTGCACATATAGTGTTTCAACAGACCTGAAGTGAAGTCCAGGGAACTAGTATTTTCACAAATATCAAGAGGTGATTCTTATAATCAGATTAAATCTGGAAAAGAACACCAACACTTCACCACACAGATAGATGTTCAAGTATGTCTCTGAGACCAAGGTACATTCAAGTTTTTGTTTTTTAAAAGTTTTTTGGAGGGCACAGAGTTCACCTCCAGAAGTCTCAAACGAATCCCCTCACTAAGAGGAAAGAAGAATGTCTTTACCACATTTATTCTGATTTTTTAAGATGTGCCTTTCGCAGTTTTCTGCCAGTCCTCAAAGATCCAAACTGCTGTGGCCTCCTGCAATTCTCTGGCAACCTGAGCAGACAGCACTAAGAAACCACACAGCACCACTCCCCGCCTTTTCCCTCAGGTGCTGATTCATTTTCGGATGGGCATCACTCAGGGAAAGAGCTGCTGAGCATAAATCTCAGAACTTCAGAGCTGGATGGGAGCTTCTGTCCCGCTCAGGTGACAGTGGCAGGGTCAAGACTAAATCTAGACTCCCAGCATCTGTGCTCTGGAGCTTTTCTGACACCGCGCTGCACCTGAGCGAAAAGGGCCGGGGTGGCCGGGCTGCGGCTGTGACCCGTCCCCGTGAGGGGTGCGGAGCAGAGACGGCGGCGGGTCCCCGGGCGGCTGGGGTTGCAGACCCGCCTCGGCCGCGAGGTGCAGCCGCGCTCCGCAGACCGGACCGAGTGCAGAGGAGGATGCGCTACGAAGATTTAGGAAGCGAAGGGAGAAGCGGCTGGAGGGAGTCGGGAGAGGAGGGGATAGGGAAGTCTCCTCCCGCAGGAGGCTCAACGCAGAGGGGACGCCCAGCAGGATTAGGCGGACGGTCCAGGCTGGGACCCCACGCGCCCCGCCACGAGGCGCCCGGGACTCCCCGGCCCGGCACAAAAACCCCGAAGCGCGCAATCGCCAGCCGGATTGGCGCTCCCGTCCGCCTCGGAGCTGACCCCTAAACTCACCGGCACACCCACCGGCTCTTCAGACATCGGCACAACAGGAACAGCCGACACCCCGCAACCCGCCAGCGCCCCGACCGGCGAGCAGAGCGCGTAGCCCAAGGACCCGGATGCAGACCCGGGAGCCGTGAGGAACAGCCGCGCAGCTGGCGGGCGCCGCGCATGCGCGCTGCCGCCCACGGGCTGCGCTGGGAAGACGTGAGTCTGCGCCCACCACGGTGGCGCGATGGTGATGATGATGATGATGATGATGATGATGATGATGTTTAACCCGAGTGCAGGAAAATGCACTGGGGGACGTCACCTTGCTGCTGTTTTGTTTTGCATCACTCAGAAGTTGAATTACAGTAGATTCCACATGTAGGACTGCGGTGCTCACACATAGTTTTGGCTTATAAGGGCACTATGAATTCCACTCTCTCTCTACCTCAAATGCAATGCATACTTGTAAACACAGTGGCAGCTAAGCCCTTTGCATCAGTAAAGCTCATCAAAGTGTTTTTTTTTTTTTTTAAATTTCAGGTTAATGTGAGGGTACAAACAACCAAATCACAATATTTGATTGTGTTAGGTAGAGTCCCTCTTAGACCTATCTCCTGCACCCAAAAGGTGTACATACACTCTGTATGGCCATTCAGTGGCCACACGCCCAACCCTCCTCCCTCTGGCCCCTCTCTCCTTTCCCTCCCCCCAACGGGAACTGAAATGAGTTTTTCTCTTCTGTGGGTGTGAATTAGATTGTCTGCGGGCTTCATACCAGTGTTGAGTACGTGGGATATTTGCTTTTCCGTTATTGTGATACTTTACTGAGAAGAATATGTTTCAGCTCCACTCAGGTTAATTAATACAAAAGATGTGAAATCACCATCTTTTTATGGCTGAATAGTATTCCATGGTATGTATATACCAATTTGTTAGTCCATTCCTGAATTGATTGGGCATTTAGGATGTTTCCACAGCTTGGCAATGGTAAATTGAACTACAATAAACAATCTACTGCAAATGTCCTTATTTTTTCTTTTCTTTTCTTTCTTTCTTTTTTTTTTTTTTGAGACAAAGCCTCAAGCTGTCCCCCTGGGTAGAGTGCTGTCACATCACAGCTCACAGCAACCTCCAACTCCTGGGCTCAAGCAGGTCTCCTGCCTCAGCCTCCCAAGTAGCTGTGACCACAGGCGCCCACAACAACACCCGGATATTTTTTGGTTGCAGCCCTCATTGTTGTTTGGTGGCCTGGGCTGGATTTGAACCCACTATGTTAGGTATATGTGGCTGGCGCCTTAGCCACTTGAGCCACAGGCGCAAGCCTGCAAATGTCCTTATGATAACATTATTTTTTTTCTTCTGGGTAGATGCCTAGGTGCGGGATTGCATCACATGGGAGATCTCATTTGGGTTCTTTGAGGATTCTCTATACTTCTTTCCAAAGAGGCTGTATTAGTTTGCAGTCCCACCAAGAATGTACAAGTGTTCCTCTCTCTCCATGTCTACAACTTTGGGATTTTGTGATGTGGACCGATCTTACTAGGATTAGGTGATATGTAGGGTGGTTTTGATTTGCATTTCTCTGATTTAATGATTATGGACAATGAGCATTTTTTCATATACCAGAGTAAGATAGTAGACTTGAAACATGTCCCTACAAGCTCACTCTGACAGTGATTAATAAACATGTCCCTGCAAGCTCATTCTGGCAGGGTATTAATAAAAAGTCCCAATCATTAGACAAACTTAAGTTTGCAGAAAGGCAAACCACATGCCATGGGAAACCAGGAAGCATCTATAGGCGAAATGCCTATATGCCTCTGGTCAAAAAAGCCATTTGAGAGAGAGCAGTGAAAAGACTTTGTGCAGGCACACTTGTGAGAAACTGAGGCAGAATCCCATATGGCCGAGTTAGTTGTAGGCTTTGACCAAGGCTTTGGCTGGAATAGCATTTCCAGACTGCGTTAAGGAATTAAGGTTGACTTTATAAGGCCAATGAAAAAGCCCTTTGGAAAACTGGCCAGATACCCATCAGTAACCTTTCCTGATCTGTGATGAAGGTTGCTTGCTGATGTGTCCAGGAATGGTAACATGCTAGGGGACCTCAAGAGAAGAGAAATTTACCCAATGCACACAGGTATCTAATGGCACAGATGAAACCTGGACTCATGAAAGACTTTTGAGAAATCCAGCTTGAGAATTCCTTATAAAAGTCTCCAGCAAAACCCCCTGACTTAAGGCTGACATGGGAGCAGAGGTTTGCACACAAATTCCTGTATGCCCAAGAAGTTTCTCTATGCTTTGCTTAAGGATTTGAAGTAACTGCCTCCCAATGGTGTGGTCAGTAGAATGGATATTCAAATGGTCTCTTTCCCCTGTAGCCTCAGGCTTCATCAGATAAGAACAGAGAAAGTAATAAGTGACAACATGTTCTTCATTAAGTTATGTTAAACTGGGTTATGTTGAAAGGGTTAAAGGTGTATGTTGGGTGGATTATCAGATTACCAGGGAGGAGCTACTTATAGGGTGGGTGGTCATAAGATGTTGGAATGGATTAATGAAGTCATTGATGTCCAATGCGCATGTGCAGAGGGACTGTAATGATTGTTAGTGAGGTCATTACTATACAGTGCACATGCACAAGATTGCCTATATAAACCAACAGCAAATAAAGAAGGCTTGCCATTTTGCCTGAGCGAGCAGATGGTCACCTTTGTTTAAAACACAGTTTCAATAAGCGTGCTTATTCTCCATGACTGGCTTTTCCATGAGACCCTTACAGCAACAGCGTCTCAGAAAGAAGCAACTAAGGAGATGATTTGTGTCCTGGCTTGCACTGAATGAGACTCTCAGAAAGGGGAATGGGTAGAGGGCATAAAATTGGAACTGGGTATCACAGGTCTTTGTCCACAAGGAAGACAACCATCTAACCGTGGCTTATTGTGCATCTACTCTGGTCGAATCAACTTGGAAGTAATCAAAGCGCTTTGCAGGGAATAGTGTTGGAACATAGCGGGACGTTTGTGAAATGTATTCTTTCTTTATGGTTTTGCTTCTTTACGTGTTTCTGATTCTAGAACAATAAGTTCTGACCAGTCTGTGACTAGTGACTGAGGCTGGTTCTGTCTGTGTCATGTCCTGTCTTCTCTTTTCTCACCTGGGTGTTTTTCACCTTTTTGTCCCCCACCTGCCATGCTTTTTGTAGCAAGGCTAAATTGAATATTGTGCCAGACACCAACATGAGTAAAACACACAGAGAGCCCTCCCTTCGTTGAACTTAAGTCTTGTGACAATACAGTTGTAAATCACTACCACCACCCCATCACTCAATAAATCATAGCAATGCAAACCTGAGATGACCTGGGTCTAGTCTCCCTAATAAAGATTTAAGAAATGGAAAGCTCAGCTCTGCACCTGTGGCTCAAGTGGCTAAGGTGCCAGCCACATACACCTAAGGTGGTGGGTTCGAATCCAGCCCGGCCAGCCAAACAACAATGATGGCTGCAACCAAAAAATAGCCGGGTGTTGTGGCGGGCGCCTGTGGTCCCAGCTACTTGGGAGGCTGAGGCAAGAGATTCGCTTGAGCCCAGGAGTTGGAGGTTGCTGTGAGCTGTGATGCCATGGCACTCTACCTAGGGCGACAGCTTGAGGCTCTGTCTCAAAAAAAAAAAAAGAAAAGAAATGGAAAGCTCAACAGAAATGTCCCTTGAACCAACATTTTGCTTCAAGAGTTTGGGAGAAAAGTTTTAATAGACTGTAATCCAGGAAAGAGACATGGTGACCGTGGCGTAGAAGTAGTAGAGTACAAATGGCTGTGTCAGAGAAAGGGGAGAAACATCAGAGAGGAGTCATTCCCTGTTATCCTGTGTAGCCCGCAGTTATCTAACAAAGAGCTTGAAGTTGGCTGACAGTGCCTGAAGTGGTCATGCTAATGGTGGCAATGGACAAAAGACGTGGCATAAGATATCAAGGTAGACAAAACCCACACTTGATGAGACACTGATTCACTGCAGTGGATTTCAGAGGAGAGAGAATGACTCTGGACCAGATGCCTCCACTGATGTAGATAATAGCAGCCTTTTTATTTCCTAAGAAATATAAACTTGATTCCATGAACATAGTATTTTTACCTAATTTTATATTTAACATGTTCGTAAGTAACTCCTGATGATGACTTTTTAATGAAGAGCTTTCTAAAAGTTTATTAGTCACCTTTTGTGGTTAGCAAATAAGTTATAACAACGGGTAGCAGAAAATGTATTGCTTTTTCACCAACCACAACAACTCGTTTTTCAGCATTAGAAAGAAGATGGGTGAGAAGATTTTATTAGATTGTATTTGAAGGGGTGGCACCTGTGACTCACAGGAGTAGGGCACCAGCTCCATATGCCAGAGGTGGCAGGTTCAAACCCAGCCTCAGCCAAAAAAAAAAAAAAAAAAGAAAAAAAAGAAAAAAAAAACTGCAATAAATAAATAAATAAATTGGCTTTGAAGGATCCAGTCATTCTTTAAACCCAGCTGAGATGAATTCAGAAGGATCTGGTTTGCCCTACTGACTTAAGCAATTGAAAACCTGGAAAAAATATACGAAGCATCTCCAAACACTTTGGACATCAGGGAGTGAAGGACAGGAATTTTTGACTGATGGGAAATAATAATAACAACAAAAGTGAGCCCTGTGTTTGTCATATTAATGCCTGCAGAAAGTTTCCATGCAATAGCAAAGGAAGAGGCCCCAGGCACAGACCCATGGTCTCTCTGTGTTGAGAAGGGTGGGGAGCCCAGGCAAGTCAAGGCGGGTAGAGTTTGCAAGATGGGGGAGAGAGAGAATTGCAATCTGTATGGTACAAGATGTGGAAAGTGATGGTATCTGCAAAATACTTTCCTTTCTGAAGTAAATTTGACCTTACTTTTGTTTTTAATACAAGCTATGAACAAGAATTAGTAGAACACACACGCAAACCAGCACATACATGCTTCCCAGGTACCCCTTACCTGCATACGGGAGCTCACACATGCCAACCCACATCTCTGCAGTTGCTGCTTAGGGCATAAACATCTTCTAAGATTTAGA